GCAGGAATGGCATAATGAGAATGAGGAGGTGGAAACTTCAGCCAGAAAATTCAAATATGAAATGAGATACACATGTTCAGCTGTGAGGGTGATAGGCCTTAGCCAAACACAACTTACTGAGCTGAGTACAGAGGGAACTCGGGGAAGTGTAATGGCCTGTGATATGCAGAGGGTCAAGTTCTATGATCTAACCATTTCTTCTGGCTGACATCTCTTCATAAAAAAATCTAGTTCAACCATAACTTAAGGCCTAAAGAGAGGAATTGCTGCATGAAATTCCATGACTAGCACTTAAGGTGCAGTTAGAAGTGTCCCTTCTGGCTTTATAGTCTATGGATGGATTAATGTGTTCAAGTAGCCTAAGGGTGCAACACGTGCTGGCAAGAGCCCTAACAGAGAGAACCTCCTGTTAAAGTGCTCTCAAATAGTCTGGCCCGTGGACATCACAGCTGTGTCTGCACCAGCACTTAGTGGGCTCTGACAGGAGCACATTTGTTGAGTGCAACAGTTGATGATCCAGCATCCCTGCTCCTTGGGGCTGATCCTGACCCTGCTCTGGTTCCAGGCTGACCCCATGGGCTCTGTGCCTCTCAGCAGGCAGGGGATGTTGGAGCTGGAGCAGCTTTTCCAGTTTGTGCACACTGAGACTCCTCTGCAGTGTAGACCAAAGTGTGGCAGGTGGGGCTGAGGAGGAGATCCCTTAGGAAAGAATGGTCTCCATCCAACATAAGGCATGAATATGGACTGATCCTATGGCAGCTCTCACTTTAAAATCTGGACCTATTCAGAAGGTAGCAAAGAATAATAGAAAGGTTTGGGTTGGAAGGGACCTTAAAGATCATATAGATCCAACCCGCCTGCACAGGCAGGGCCACCTCCCACTAGATAAGGTTGCTTAGAGCCTCATCCAGCCTGGCCTTGAACACTGCCAGGATGGGGCTTCCGTGACCTCCATGGGCAACCTGTTCCAATGCCTCACCACCCTCATAGTAAAGAATTTCCTCCTAATATCTAATCTAAATCTCCCCTCTTCAAGTTTTAAGCCATAGCCCCTTGTCTTCATGCTACATGCCCATGCAAAAAGTCCTGCCCCAGCTTTCTTGTAGCCCCCTTCAAGTGTTGGAAAGCTGCTATAAGGTCACCTCGGAGCCTCCAGGCTGAACAACCCCACTTCCTCAGCCTGTTTTCATAGGGGAGCTGCTCCAGCCCTCTGATTATTTTTGTCACCCTCCTCTGGACTACCTCAAGAAGCTCCATGTCCTTCTTATGTTGGGTGCTCCAGAACTGGACACAGTATTCCAGGTGGGGTCCCACAAGAGCAGGGTAGCAGGGGAGAATCACCTCCCATTTTCATACATGTCCAGCATATACAATAAAGCTGTGTGCTTGCTTTCCTAGAAATTCTGTTAGAATCCAAAACCTAAACTGGGACTTGGTGTGAATTGGCTGATGGAGCAGTAAAGCCTCAGTGGCTGTTGAGCAGTGACAGTGCAGGAGGTGCTTGCTGCCTTGGAGACAGAACGTGGGGGGCTTGGGGTCTGCACTGAAAAGCTGTGATGGGTAGTAAGAAGATTCATTAGTTGTACATTTCCTTTTTGTCTAGGTCTTGTAAATGTGAGAGATGGACCAAAAATGTGTCCCTTGTTTTGGGCTGAGATAGTTCTGTGTGTCAGTTTAGTCGATGGGATGTAAAATTATCCTGGTCACAGCTCTGCAAGGGGCTGGTCCAAAGAAGGCAAAGTGGCTAAAGCCCTAAAATAGCTCCAGATGTTACAGATGTTGTTTTTTCTTCTTACTAGCAATTACTCTCTTGGAATTGTCCAGCAGTTTTTCTTCTTCCTGTGGAAGAGTGAACAGAATCATGACCAACCAGGTCATGAAACTTGCCAGTGGTAAGAACATGCTAGAATCATGGAGTGGTTTGAGTTGGAAGGGACTTGTGTGCAAACTTTAAAACGAGGAAGCGTTTCCAACAAATCCTGATTTGGATTGACACAAGTTTCTTGTTTTATAAAGGATCTTTTCCCTACAGTGTTTGTACTAAACCAGTGCTGGTTGTATTCTTCAGAAACTGCAATATTCCTTTACATGTTATTTTATTGCCTAAGATACTGCTCCATCCCCAAAGTCATATTTTATATTTTAAACTGCTTGTCTTCTAAGATGTATTTATTGCTGTGTTTGTTTAACTTGGTTATCTCCTTCATCAGTCTGTTTCTTGCTAACTTAAAGCTGCTGCTCTTTGTTTTTAGTATAGAAAGCTGCTTCCCTAGGGATGTATAGTCCAGGACTTGTCTCTGTAATGGGGCTATTTGTTTTCTTTGCCCCTTGCAGTTGCCTGCTGTAACATTTGTAGTATGTGTTAAGTAATCCTTGAGGTAACATTTTTATTATGTCATAAAAAGTGCGTGGCAAATATATAATAACTCATGGAATTTGTTTGTTTAAAATGGAAGGATAATTTATTGAGTGTGTTACATGAGACCTGCTCCCCCTTATTAGAGCTGTAGAAGTGCAGCTTATTTAGAAGTATGTTCTATTGAGAAAAACCACGATCTCTGACATGCACAGAAAGTTTGAGCATGGTTGGGTAGAAATGACATCATAGTTTATGTACTCAATAAAAATTTAATTAAGTCATTACAGAAGTTGCAGTCATCATTTAACCCTCTGATTTCTTATGTTTAGTTCTTTTTTTAAACATTCAGTAATAACCAGTCTCCAAATCTTGATAGCCTATAAAATATCTGCATGAATTTTAATAGTTTATATTAATGGAAAAATAAGAGTAACTGACATAAAAGGAATTTTCCTGGTGTTTGCCCTGTATGCATTTCTATAAAAATCAACACATGAAAAAAGATAATGGGTTAATGGAAGAATATTTGAACTGGGATTTGCTAGAGTGACAAAAGCCAATTCATATTTTGATAGAAAAGCTCTTGCATCATCACCAAGGTGAGTACTCTTAAGGATGCTACGAAAGCCCTCAGGACGTGGGGTTCACACTGTCACGAGTGTGAAGATTTTAGCTGTGAGTTCTCACAGCTTTTCTTTAGCCTGGCATGAGCTGTACATCAAAGGCAGCAGGGCTTATTCCCTGCCAGAACTGACATCCCACTCTGCAATCCTCTTTGCACTTTCTTTTTGTGAAGCCTGTCTCCAGGATGCAGCCTGGTACACGAGTGTGGTGCTGGTGTGCAGGTGTGAAGAGAGTTATTCCTGTTACTGACACTGATGTTCTGTGCCAGAGCTGTGGAAAAGACAAGCCTTGTGTCTCTTGGAGCTCTTGTGAGGGCCAATAGAAAGACTAATATCTACCAACAAGTGCAGCTTAGCCCTCAGGACAGGGGCTGTTTTTTACATCATTTTGTTGAAAGAAATAAATGTACAGACAAAAGGAATAAAGAATTTGGGTGAGGGAGATGCATGTGGTGCATGAAAGGAGGATGGAGCCAGACTGTTCAGTAGTTCCCAGGGACAGGGCAAGGGACAACAGGCACAAGCTGGAACATGGGAAGTACCATGGAAATACAAGGAAAAACTTATTTACAGTGAAGTTGACAGAGCACTGGGACAGGCTGCCCAGGGAGGCTGTGGAGTCTCCATCTCTGGAGACATTGAAAACCCCCTGGATGCAGCTGTGGGTAAAGTATTCCAGGCAACCCTGCTTTACTGGGGTGGGAGTTGGGCTAGGTGATCTCTAGAGGTCCCTTCCAACTCTGACTATTGTATGAGGTATCCCAGCCACTGCTCTGGACCTAGCAGCTGATCCTTTTGGTTCTGTCTTGAGCTCACATGAGGTCAGTTCTACAAGCCAATGGGTGGCTTCAGCCAAACCAGCAAATATTTAACCAACTGTTAAATTTAGTTAAATGTCAGAGTGGAACTTGGACTGAGTCACACTTACAGCATAGGGGGAAGTAGCTGGATCATCGCAAGCTCTTAGTCATAGTCAAAACAGAGTAAGTCTGAGCTTCTAGTGAGAATTTGTGTGATTCCTGAGAAAGTCAACATTGACAAGTAAGTGAGGAGTGTTGGTAGGGATGGTGCCTCTATCTTTAGCATCACAGAACCTTTACTGCAATGGCACCTCCAGCTCTGGAGTCCATGCTGTACAAAAAAAAAAGTTGAAAAACCTCCAAGGTTCTAAAAGACCTGTGTGAGCCAAGGCCTGGAGAACCTGCTTCATAGTTAAAATGCAGAGGAGTCATCATTGTCTTGGCCTGGGCTGCCACAGAGAGGACAGCTTTGCCCTCACCCCTTCCCCAGCTCTGCTGTTTCTCCACTCGTGGAGCTGAATGGCAGAGTTCTTGGCTGAGGATTCTTCTGCCACTCACCTGTTTGAGTAACACTCAGTTGTGCACAGGGTTGACAGAGCTGTGTTACCTGTTGTTCTGAAATGTCTGACTGCACTGACATCATTCCAGCCAAATCCAACCCTTTTGGGCACCGTTTCTGTTTTGCCTGCTGAGTGTGAAACTGATGATGTTTTCTCATCACTTCCTCCTCAGAGCCTGTACAGATCATTTTCTGGTTTATTTTTCAGATTAATTCTGTTGTCCTAAAGGAAGACATGAGAACCATGGTAGAAAACTTCTATGCAGCTCTGTTTGGATATGATGAGGTAAGAAGGGTGTTTTCAGACAACATGCAAGAACAAATAGACCATTGAATTAATGAACACAGAATACTCCAGATGAGTGAAACCTTTGCTGTACATCTCTTTGGAGACATGTTATGTCATGGAAGCAGAGTTCTGACCTCCTGTGATCATCTTGTGCCTGGGGTTGAAGTGCTGCTAAGAAAAAAGAAAGCACACAACATATTGATGTAAAACCATGAGACATGGAAGGAGGGTTGTTCTTTGTACTTCTTGACCATCAATAAATCCTTTACTCCCTCTGACTGCCATTGTACTCAGCTATACTTTGAAATCAAAGAGAGTATTTACAGGAACTATCTAATTAATATGGGCAGGCAAAAGCTCCCCTGTGCACAGGTGTCTGCAGGACTTTCTAGAAGAAAATACAATGACATCATCTGCTTTAGTAGTGATTCTTTTTGCTCTGGTAGGTGTTGCCCCTCAGATGTTGGTGGTATTATTTTTTGCAGTGATTTGCATTATTAATAACTTAAAAATGTAAACTTCATGGAATTGTGGACACTTGTTATACGTGCAAGTCTTTAATCTAGTTTTAAGTGTAGCCAGGATGTGTCTGCCTGTGTCAGTCTGTCTTTTTTCTTTTCTCTTTTTGTTGACACTCTTTTTGGAAACAAAATATCTAGTTAAATTAAAGCCAAATGTTGACCTTTTTCAGTTTTAGCTGAATATTTTAACGTCCTCTCTTGCCTTTGGCAAATGTGCCAGCAGAACACAGGAGTTATGAGACTATGGTGGTAACACCACGTAAGCTAAAAAGACAATAAAAATGAGAGAGAATTTAGACAAAAAAGCACTCATGGATGTGATTCTCATAGAAGCCAAATTTAATATTAGATTTAACTGGAAAAATCTAGATAGTTCTTGATGATGAGGAGCTCTCCCCTTCTCATTTACAATGAAAAAATAGAGAAGCAAAGCAAAATAGCAAAGTCCTGACTACATTTCTACAACATTGTATTAAATATCCTTTAATTTTTCTTTTCCAAATGTCATGGGCTTCTCACAAGTCTGTGAGGTGGTTCTGTCTTCCCTGCATGGCCAGAATTTTTATGGTGAAGATTTCATAACACAGAAATGCAATTATCAGCTCCTGCATTAGGAATACACTCACCCAGGTATTTTTCCAAATTAACTGGCCAGGATTCTTGTTATAGGCTGCTCTGTAAATTATTTTAA